TTTTTCTGTACATTTCTGCCATATGTACATAAACTGACAGTCACCACTGATAAACTACTACTAAATATTGTAGAAACGTAATTTTCTGTAAAGGTGCTTTGCAACGATTTGTATCGTAAAAAGCGCTATACAAATAAACTTGAATTGAATTGAAATTCTCACACAAAACATGCAAACCGAACATCACTCCATATCGTTTGCCTGAGGCTCTGGGTTACCGGTAATGATGTAAATAATGTTCAGTTTCTTGCAAATTGCAAAACCGATTGTTTCACTTCATATGAACTCAATATATCGTCAGGGGCCACAAGTATTCATTTTGTGTTGGATTTATAAATGTGGATTTACATTTAAACTGTAGCATATATAAGTTCAATAGGTTAGTTCAACTGAGACTGCGCTACTGTCAGTCACGGAAGCCTTGCGGATTGCAAAAGCTGATTCCAAATCATCAGTTCTTATATATATATATATCTTTATTTATTCCTTCTCTTTCTAGCTTGTACTTATTTGAACAATGTCTAAAAACTTGGTATTACAAGCACTTCCTGTGTCTGGTTGCCTCTCTAAGAAGAATCGCTTTATGTAGCCCCCAGTTGTAAGTCGCTTTGGATAAAAGCGTCTGCTAAATGACTAAATGTAAATGTAGTTCATATGGATAATGTTGTTAAATCTCTTATGTGTAGTAGCGAGGGGTCGTTGATATTTGCCATTACACCTTTAAATAAGGTTTAGAATTTTACAAGTCTAGTTTAGAAAAGTAAAAGGGAAAAATAAAGTGGTTTTATGGCCCGTAGGACGGTACTGAGCACTTCCAACTGTAATTTAACTGATTTCATAAAATGAATGAAATATGTGACATGATTACAGTATTTGATACACAGAAAAACATATGATTTATTTTTGTATTTCAGCAAGCATTTCTTCCATTTCATGCACATGAGTGTGATTGTTACCAAAACTCTTGTCTTTAAAAAAAGCATGTTTCAAAATATGTCAACAAATTCCTTCATTTTCCATTCAGCCAGGTGTTTATTTTAAAGAAATTGTTGGTTTCATGGTCAAAAAATAATATTTATCATAAAAAAAAAACACTATTTATCGACACAAGGTGTAAATTTCTAAAGCACACAAACCCATTTTTTCATTTCAAAGGCGACTCAAACCTCAAGCTTATCAATTTTCTATGTTGCAATTTATTAAACAATGGGGTAAATGGATCAAACTTACTTTACTTTACTTTGTCATTTAGCAGACGCTTTTATCCAAAGCGACTTACAAATAAGAAAAAGTAATTAAAACTAAAAGCTAATACTCTATAAATACTATATATATATATATACACACACACACACACACACACACACACACACACACACACATTTAAGAAAATAAAATAAATTAAATAAAAATGACAAATGCATACAACAACATTTCAAAACTAAACATTGAAATGAAAACAAAAAAATAAAGCTAAAAACAATTCAAAATATTAAAAGAACAAAAGGTATGAGTATAATAATGATTATAACATAACACTAAGCCAAACACCAAAAAACAACTAACTTACATGTGTATGTACAGCCACACACATATACATATACATGTACATATATATAAATACATTCAATATATATATATATTATTTCATTTCCATTTTGTATGTTGAAGTACTGAAATAACTCAAATGAAATAAAACTAAAACTGAATAAAAAACCTATACAGACATAATAAAAAAACTAATAAAATGACAACATTACTACAACTGTAACTAAAACTAAAATAGATAACGAATACAACTTAAATAAAAAAAATAGTGGTTTAATTTTATTTTTTAAAGAAAAAGCTATTTAGTAACAGGAATGAAACTGGGTAACAGGAATGAGTATCCATTATGTGTGTATATAGGTTTGACTACACATGCGAGGTGTTAAAAGGGTCATATGATGTCATATGATTTCAAGTTTTCCTTTCTCTTTGCAGTGTTACAAGCTGTTCGTGAATAGATAAGATCCCTAAAGTTGCAAAGACTAAAGTCTCAACTTTTATAAAGAATATCTCTTTGGGTTTAAGACTAGTCCACACCCTCCTAAAATGCCTTATTTAAACACGCCCCCACATGTCTACATCACGATGTGGGAAGATTTGCATAACGGCGCCCAAATGTTCACGCAAAGAAAGAAGGCGTAACTTTTATTCTCGCTGTAGTATTGTTGTTGCCGCCGCCATGTTGTGAAGACGCTGTGCGTTTCGTTGCGAAAGCGAAAATACTTTGTTTGGCCTTCCAAAAGGGGACACGACTAGAAATCGGTGGTTAAGTTGTATTTACAACACTGTTCCAGAAAAGTTCAACCCAAATATTCAGATGTGTGCAGCACATTTTATGGAGGACTGTTTCCTGATCCTGGGAGAGTAGACTACAATGCCGGCTGTTCTGACTCGCAGACTGTAAGTACGTTTTCATATTTGCCACTGACGATTCAAACACTAGTTTTGAGCAGTGTAGAGTAGCGCTTGTTGTTTGCCGTTTCTACGATCACAAATGAAGACATGGTTTTATGTTTACGCGGCGCGATGCAACGCATAAAAAGCCAGTATAAGTTATTATAATCTGTAATTATGTCCCCACTGGATGCAACAAATGCCTCGTTTATAATGGGTTTTCATGTTTTTGTCTCGTCGCTCCGGCCGGACAGGGCATATGGTAAAGGCGTGACATTTCTGTCACACGCTTGAGGAATTCGGCCAATCA